CCCGCCCTGGATTCCCTGTGTTTCCAGTTCCTATCTGTACCAGTGTACATCCTCTGGTCTAGCCAGACTTTCAAGGTAGAATTGGGATCATGATAGTGGGGGGAAGGTGGGAATGAAGCATTTAAACATCTGACCTCCCACCAATATGCTGGCAAACAGCCTCTTAGGTTTGGCATATCTTTGAGGAAACAAAGCTGGGAAAAAGTCTTTTTACATCCCACAGAATCCCAGGAGCCCAAAGAGAAGTAATTACTTGGGGATAGAACAGTCATTTTAGACTACTGATAAAGCAAATAACACGTGGGTATTTTGCAAAGATTATTGTAGTATGATATACAATGGATATACAATGGGGTTAGATTGTAGCCTGGCAGGCCAAAGAAGACAGTAATTTAGATCCCTGTATTTAATCATCCTTGCAGTTACAAAAACTCCCCTTTTCATATAAATCATTTTATTGGGGGCTCATACAACTCTTATCACAATCTATCCATCCTTCCATTGTGACAAGCATATTTGTATACATGTCACCATCATAATTTTCAAAGCATTTTCTTTCTACTTGAGCCCTTGGTATCAGCTTCTCATTTTTCCCCTTCCCTTCCTCATGAACCCTTGATAATTATAAATTATTGTTATTTTTTCATGTGCTACACTGCCCGAAGTTTCCCTTTACCCCCTTGTCTGTTGCCCATCCCCCTATAAGGGGGTTATAGGTAGGTCATTGTGATCAGTTCCCTCTTTCTCTCCCCACCTTCCCCTTCCCCTCCTAGTATGGCTACTCTCAATATTGGTCCCCAAAAAGACTCTTTTACCTTACCTTGATTCCTCATCCTGAATTTAATGACTGTGTGAGGCCAGGTTGATGGAGAAACAAATCCAGTGACACATATGTACAAGAAAGAGTTTTATATCAAGAAGTAATTTTGTATTGAGAAAACAATCCAACCCAATCCAACTCAAGTCCATAAATCTGATACTAGTCCCTAAGTTCCTCCTCAGACTCACACAGCCACATGCACTGATGCAAACTACAGGAAAATCGCAGGTTGGTGGGTGCAAAGTTGTGTGGATTCAATGGCAGTGGAAGCAACAGGTCTTAGAGTGGCGTGCCAGCAGGAAGATGAAGGCAGAGAGTGAAGAGGGTGGGGGAGCCAGTGTTCCTGGCCCTCCTGCTGAGAAGGCCATGCCCACAAGGAGGCACCATCAGACTGTGACCTGACTGACAGGTTGAGTTCCCCACTGCCCCTCCTACACTTTTATATATCTTCAAGTTGACATGAAATTATTTAACAAGTACATTTTCTCTTGGCAAAGCAAATTCCTTTGTCTCTTCATTGCACTTCTTATATCATAGATTACAACCCTTAAATCCATGTGAAATCTTGCCCTAAGGCCTTTATTGTTACAGAAAGTACAAGCATGACATTAGAAAATGCACATTTACTGAATGGACCTAACCAAGCGTTTGTGGTGCCTGCTTTCTGTCCATAAACATTTAATGCTTTCCAAGAAAATTATTGATCTTATTGTAACAACGATAAATCCTTTTGGATGAAGATAACTTGTTTGTTTACTATGAAACCGTTCACTTTAAAAGCTTACATTCGCTTGTTGGAGATAACTTTTAATTTTTGTGTGCATCTAGGTGACTTTTGGTAAAAGTGCATGTAGATTACAGAGCTTCCTCAAAAAACGGTGCAGATCCCGTGGATATGATGACACGGATGCCTCTCCTTTGCATCATGCTGCAGAAGCAGGTGAACTAGAACTGATGGAGATGATCCTCAATGAGTCCTGTTGTGAAGGTATCGGAATGTTCAAATGGATGCTCTGTAGACCCACTATCCCTTGAGATTTCTTGGGACGAGTAGCCTGAGGTCACTGAAGGGTAACCTTATTAACCTGAAGCCTGAGATTCTTAAGAGTTTATCATTACAGATTTTATGGGACCTGCATATCTCACTCAGGAGTCTGGGTTACATGCTGGGTGTCTAACCACAGGATCAGCAGTTCAAATCCACCAGCTGCTCTGCAGGAGAAAGGGGAGACTTTGTCCACCCATAAAATTTTCATCTCTGAAAGCCACAAGGGCAGCGATACTCTGCCCTATGGAGTCTCTGTGAGTCAGAATGGTTTGACAGTGAGTTTGGTTTTTTGGAGTGCTGCTCACATTTTCATTCATTTGTCGCTACTGGCTCAGAGTGACGTTCTAGATAGCATCGGGCTATCGGGAGAGACCAGGGCCTAGAAATGTACACCATGTTCGGTAAAGCAGAGGAGCAGCAAAAAGGAGGAAAACCCTTGAGAAACTGCATTGGCGCCATGGCTGCTGCTGTGCACTCAAATATAAGAATGGCGGAGAGGGCAGGGCTTTGTTCTAGTCTACGTTCTGGGTTGCAAAGACTCAGCAGCACCTAACAACAGCCAGCATCTCCACCTCAGATTTTACCACACGTTCCTGCGTGGAAAAGTGGATGTGAGCGTGTGGACTTGGCTTTGCTCATACTGAATTTGAGAAGTCCAGGAGACATCTGTTAGGGAATATCCAGGAAGCAAATAGAAATATAAAAGGAATGTCACCATGCCCACAGAGCCATTGTTAGGGGAAGTAGACGAAGCATTGGAAATGTAGGAAAACCCTTCAAGAAGACCTACAATGGGATGACAAAGGTTTTAAAGGTAGAGCAGCATCAGGAGAGGACACATAGCAGGGAAAACCAGCAAGGATGGTGAAGACGCCAGTGAAGAGTGTGATAGATGATAAATTGAGCTTACAGGTGTGAATAGAGAAGTTATTGCGCTATGAGTTAGAAGGACCACAGAGATTATGTCGAATGAAGGTCACTATGCTCACAGAACACCTGTGGCTGTTGAGTCAGTTGTGACTCTGTAAGACCAAGTCGGACTGCCTAATTGGATTTCCCAGGCTGCAATCTTTACCTAAGCAGACTATCCAACCTTTCTCCAGCAGAGGGGTTGGTGGGTTTGAAAAGTTGACCATTTACTTAGCAGCCTAGAAATTAACCTTATCCTGCTAACAGAACCCTTGAGGATCACCGTAAAACTCAAAAACTGAAAGTTCTCAATGATTTTTGCATAAGTGATTCCAGAAAAGAGAGAATAGCCAATTCAAGTACTTTGATTGGCGAATAAGCTCTTTTTTAATAAAGTTCTCTTGAAATACAATGTTGAAGAATCTTTGTCACAATCAGAGAGAATGGTCAAAGAATGTGTATGTGTGTTGTTGGAAATGAGAAACTTGGATGAATGACAAAAGTTAATGGATAAATAATAAAAGCAAGAAGAAAACGGAAAGCATCCAGCTATCCTATGTGGTCCCTATATTATATTTTGGGTATATAATTTTCCTCTTCCCCAGGCACACAACTATAACACATTAATTTATAAATATATAAATTATAATTTATATTATACAATTTATATATACATATAATTTATATTTAAATATATACAATTTGTATATAAATATATAATTTACACACTATATAATTTATATTATAAAGTATAATAAATTATATGAAATGTATAAATATATAATTGGTAAAGTAGAGAGCAATATAAATTTTCTAATAGATAGAAAATGCTACAGAATAAAAAGGCATATTCTCCCATCCAAGTACTAACCAGCCCTGACCCTGCTTAGCTTCTGAGATCAGACGAGATTGGGTGTGTTGTATGGTCATGGACAAAAAAGCATATTCTAAATGTTGATCCCACAGGGTTTGTAGAAATATGTGGGATCTATGCATGTTTTGAAGAGGCCCAACCTCAACTGTTAAACTTATGCTTTGTTAGTTTTTGTCATTTCATAATATATTTTGAGCAATTGCTACGGGGTCATCATTCTGCTAAGGTGTTTAAAGACATTAGTTGATGTTAATTTCCCAGTGATCTTGCAAGGTTAGGAGGAGTAGGAGAAATCTCGGGCTGCTGAAGTAACCTACACAACTCCTTACTCGCTGTGTCAACTTGGCAGGGTTTTGAACATCTCTAAACCCTGGCTTTTCATCCGAATAGCAGGTCAGATATTTTGCAAGGCTATTGGATGGGTTGAGTAATTGTCTTATGAAACCTACAAAAGTGCCTGGCAAGTAGTTATTGCTTTTACTCTTTTACTTTATCTCAATGCCTTACAACAAACACAACATTCATTTTGGAGATTAAAAACCTAGAGCAGCAAGAGGTTCTATTTCTTACAACGCTATAGGGAGACAGCTCTTTTGATGAGGTAAGTGTCATATGTCTATTTCTCCACTACAGGTGTTCAATCCATGATTCTAAGGAACTCAGGATATATGTTTCTTCTTAATAGAGGCGACACAGTCTATTACAAAGGCACTTGAATTTGAAGAGTGTAATCAGTTGGTCTTGGATAAAAAGCTGAGTCATATTTTGATATCTTTTGGTATCTTTCTCTAGAGCTGAATGTGATGGATAATTATGGAAATACCCCCCTGTACTGGGCTACAGACAAAAACCAGGTCAAAAGCATCCAATTTCTTCTCAGCCGAGGAGCAAACCCCAACATCCGAAACTACAACATGATGGCCCCTCTCCACATAGCTGTGCAGCGTGGGTACAACGAGTTGGTGAAGGTGAGGTTGCCAATGGCTCACGTGTGGTTGCTTGTAAGCTGTGACCCAAATTTGGCTCCCTGTACCTGGGAAGAACGGCCAACCAAAGGCGCCCGAGCAAACGGAGTGCAGTGACTGCAAGTTTCCTTCACTCCTGACCAACTGGTGACGAGGGTGGTGCTGGTAAATGGTGATGAAAATAGCAGTAGCAATATTTGAGCCTTTATTGGATAGTGCTTGTGTACCAAACACTCTTCTAATAGCTTTCTGCATTTCAGCTTATCCAGGCCTTATTTAATGACATAAACTATGAACTAAAATTGACATTGTCCCCATTTTATGACTGAGGAAACTGAGGCACAGAGAAAATTAGATAGCTCACCTGTATCACATAAATGGCGAAAACAGGAGTCAGCAGTTTGGATGTTATCCGTGATTCTAAAGGAAGACTTACCATGTTTATGTGAACCATTTCATGGCTGAGAAGAGGAAGGTGGCGAGTGACTCGGGAAAAGGGAAACTATAATTGTGCTTTGATGTTTGGGTTGAAGAATGGCTGGCATGCCATATTATTGGGAAAGTTCCCACCACCACCACCACCCACCACCCTGTAAGGGCAGGAATGACTGTGGTCAAATATAGGATCCCGAGAGAACAAAGAAAAGTAAAATGAAAATCCAAATCCGTCGATGTGAAGTAGGTTCTGATTTACAGTGACCCCGGGTGTGTCAGAGTAGAACTGTGCTCTATAAGGTGCCCCAAAGACTGATGCTTTTCAAAATAGTTCCAAGCCTTCTTCCAGGCCACTCGGGGTAGACTCAAAGCTCCAACCTTGCAGTTAGTAGCTAAGCACTTAGCCATTTGTACCACCCCAGGAGGAGGCCATCCTCCATGCATAGCAGGTAAGAGTTAGGCTGTAGTTTTTAACCTGCATCTCCTGGTCCCCTTGACTGTTTCCACACCTTAGAAAATATATATGCATGCTGAAGTGGTATGCAATTTACAAATAGATTATGTTCCAGGTGTTCATTTATAAGATAGGTGATTTGGGATGTGTGTTAATCTGGGTAGACTAGAGAAACAAATCCATGGACACACATATGTGTATAAGAAAGAGATTTATATATAAGAGCAACTGAACATTGAGAAAGCATCCCAGCCCAGTCCAGATCAAGTCCTTAAATCCGATATTAGCCCGTATTTCTGATATCAATCTATAAAGTCCTCTTCAGACTCACGAAACACATGCAATGACGCCGAATGCAGATCACAGGCCAGTGGGTAGAAAATCTTTGGATCCAGTGTCATTGGAAACATCTCAGCACTGGCAGGGGTCTCTCTGTGGCTTCCCTGGCTTCCGAAGTCTGGTTGTGTCCATGTGGCTTGCCTTCTGCAGTGTCTCCCAGGGAGCAGCAGAGAGAGAGAGAGAGAGAGAGAGGTGTCTCCTGCCTCCAAGGAGGAAGTACCAGATTTCCCAGAATTCTCAGGAGAAGGCCATGCCCACAGAAGTCTCATTGGCTATCTCCAGATTGACAGCCTAGACTCCACCCCAATGCTTAATCCTTAAATTGACACCAGATTAGGTGACTACCACAGGACATCTAACAAGTTCTCCTATAGAAACAATATTATGAATAGTGATGTGGCTATTGTGCTAGAACACACCCCAACCTACTTTGTCTAAAATCAGGAAATAGATCCCAGAAGTATTCATGAGTTTCTCCCGGGCGACAGAGACCTTGACTTCAGTTAGCTTGTAGAGGAGTTAAGGTGGGAACCCTTTTCCCACTTTCCTACCGTATGTATGTAGCTCTGTCATTATACCTAACACATACAACATGGAATGAAGGTTCAAGTGGTTTTGTCATCCGCTGGCCAGTTGTGGCTGTGTAAAGGAAGGGACCGTGCCTTACCAAGTATCTCTATCTAGTATCTTACCAAGTATATCTAGTATCTTACTTAGGTATTTCTAGTCTTCAGTGCAGTGCTAGTAAATGGTGGATGTTGAATGGAATCAATTGATAAAGGGGTGCATGGGGTACTGACTACAGAAGAACAAGCTGAGATGATAGCACACACAAAAAATGGGTGAGGCTTCTGCCAGCAGTTGTAGACAGTGAGGTGATATCTGATAAGACTGTTGTTATTAATAATAATCTACACTATTCCTGAGCCAGATGTTGCTTCAGTTTAATTTGGCTTGAGCCTCTAGTCACTGCAGGGCCCCACAGAGATTTCATTTGTGGCCCCATGGAGTTTCTTTTGAAGGCTCTTTACAGAAACAAATGGCCATTGACTTAATTAATCTTGGCTATGAAAGTATGATTTGGGAATTCAAAGGCAAGTACCGATGAAAAGAATCTGGTTAATTGGAAATCAGAAATCTCTAGACCAACAAAGAATAGTAAGTATCACATAAGAATAGAAAAGAATGTTCATAAATAAGCAAATTCTGATTTAAACATTAGATGTTGTACCTAATGGAGCTTTTCCTGGGTGAGAAGGAAAATAGAGTTATAAGAGAATTAAAATTGTCTTGCCCTGATTTGGGAATACTGCTAGGAGTGCAACTAAAACGATTTCCAAATCCCCTTGTTTTGCTAAAGATTAAAAAGAGAAGAAGGAGAAAGAATGTTAGATGACTCCTTGCATGCTTGCAAGCAATAGTATTGCTGGCTTGCCTCTTCTAGGTATGCTCATGGGCCAAGATTTCAGGGAGTCCCACCAGCCCTTGTTATCCTCCAAACCTTCCACAGCTGCCTACAGAATTTTAAAATGAAAATAATCATTACCTTTATATCACCTAGTATTCTTTCTTTTTTTCAAATCATTTTTTAGAGTTTCTTTTTTTTAAATCGTTTTATTAGGGGCTCAGACAACTCTTATCAGAATCCATGCATACATCAATTGTGTAAAGCGTATTTGTACATTCATTTCCCTCATCATTCTCAAAACATTTCCTCTCCACTTAAGTCCCCAGCATTAGGTCCTCACTCCCCCGCCCCATGAGCCCTTGGTAATTTATAAATTGTTATTTTGTCATATGTTGCCCTGTCCGACATCTCCCTTCACCCACCTTTTGGCTGTCCATCCCGCAGGGAGGAGGTCACACATAGCTCCCTGCAATCTGTTCCCTCTTTCCTACCCACTCTCCCTCTACCATCCCAGCATCGCCACTCACACCACTGGTCCTGTAGGGATCAAACGCCCTGGACTCCCTGTATTTCCAGTTCTTATCTCTACCAGTGTACATCCTCTGGTCTAGCCAGACTTGCAAGGTAGAATTCGTGTCATGATAGTGGGAGCAGGGAGGCATTTAATAACTAGAGGAAAGTTGTATGTTTCATCATTGCTACATCACACCCTGACTGGCTCATCTCCTCCCCGAGACCCCTCTGCAAGGGGATCTCCAGTGGCCTACTCATGGGCTTTGGGTCTCCACTCTGCACTTGCCCCATCATTCACTATGGTAAGATTTTTTTGTTCTGATGATGCCTTATACCTGATCCCTTCGACACCTTGTGATTGCATAGGCTGGTGTGCTTCTTCCACGTGGGCTTTGTTGCTTCTGAGCTTAATGGATCCCTTCGACACCTTGTGATTGCACAGGCTGGTGTGCTTCTTCCACGTGGGCTTTGTTGCTTCTGAGCTTAATGGCCGCTTGATTACCTTCAAGCCTTTAAGACCCCAGATGCTATACTTTTTGATAGCCAGGCACCATCAGCTTTCTTCGCCACATTTGCTTATGAACCCATTTGTCTTCAGTGATCCGTTCGACATCTCGTGATCACACAGGCTGATATGTTGTTCCATGTGGGCTTTGTTGCTTCTGAGCTAGATGGCCGCTTGTTTACCTTCAAGCTTTTAAGACCCCAGATGCTATATCTTTTGATAGCCGGGCACCATCAGCTTTCTTCACCACATTTGCTTATTCACCCACTTTGTCTTCAGCGGTTGTGTTGGGAAGGTGAGCATCATAGAATGCCAATTTAATAGAAGAAAGTATTCTTGCATTGAGGGAGTACTTGAGTGGAGACCCAATGTCCTTCTGCTACCTTAATACTAAACCTATAAATACAGGCACATAGATCTATTTCCCCATCCTCATATAAATATATCTGCATATGCACATGTCTTTATCTAGACCTCTATAAATGCCCTTTGCCTCCCAGCTCTTTCCTCTATTTCCCTTGGTTTTCCTCCTGTCCCACTATCATGCTCAGTCCCCACCAGTATTTCAGCACTTCCTGTTCATTACATTCCCCTTGATTATGCCCCACCAGGTCTCCCACATCCACCTCCCCACCAATTTGGATCGCTTGTTGTTCCCTTGTCCCTGGGTTTGTTAATACCTCTTCCCTTCCCCCCACCTCCCCCTCTCCCACGTCCCCCCAGAACTGTCAGTCCCATTGTTTTCTCCTCCAGATTGTTCATCCAGCCTGTCCTATCCAGACAGACCTGCGGAGACAACAACATGCACAAAAACAAGGGGCTCTTACATCTCTTGTTACTCTTCATACATCAATTGTATCAGACATATTAATACATATATTCCATTGTTCTTTTCTAGACATTTACTTTCCATTGAGCCCTTGGGATCTGTCCCTCTACCCCAAGCCCCAACCCTCATGGCCCCTTGATAGATTATAGATTGTTAATTATTTTCAAATCTCACACCATCCACTATCTGCCTTTCCCTATAGTTTCTGTTGTTATTCCCCCTGGATGGGTGTGTGTGGTTAAGTGCCATTCTTTGTGATTGGTACCCTCCTCCCTTCCCACCTCTCCCTCCCCTTTCTCCTACCCTTTTGGTACCTCTATTCCCATTCCTGTTCCTGGCTTCCATGTCTTGTGAGTTTTATCTCTTGCCTATACCTGTGTACATGCTCCCATCTAGTCCAGAGTGGGAAGCGGCAATGGGATCATGATAGCAGGGGAGTTGGGGAGGCCTCAAGGAATCAGAGGTTTATGTGTGACCCATTAGTGCTTTACTGCACCCTGATTGACTCATCCCCTCCCTGAGACCCCTTTGTGGGGGGATGTTCCATTGTCCACAGATGGGCTTTGAGTCTCCGCTCCAACCACCCTCCATTATCACCAATGCATTTTTGTTTGTTTACTGTTTGTTGTGAATCTTCTGATGCCCATTACCTGGTCACGATGACACCTCACCGTCTCACCAGCTGGTGTGCTTCTTCCATGTAGGCTTGTTGCTTCACTGTTGGATAACCACTTGTTTAACTTCAAGCCTTTAAGACCTCAGACACTATATCTGTTAAAAGCATCATCCTTTGTCTTCACCACATCTGCTTGTGCACCCATTTTGCCTTCAGTGATCATGTGGGAGTCGGGGATGAGCATCACAGAATGCAAAGTGTTCTTGTATTGAGGGAAGGTATGAGTCAAGGCCCAAGGCCCATCTGCAGCCTCAGTGTATTGCCTTATAAATATACGTGCATAGGCCAACACCTCTATTGTTATGGATTAATGCATTTACATAAGTGCACACCTCTTAATATCCCTATTTATCACCTAGTATTCTTGAACAGACAGCCACTGGAAGTTATACAACTCCTTGGGACACATTTGCCTCAAGATTAGAGAGGAGGCATTTAATTCTCTATGATATAGAGACTTTACATCTTGGGGTTGGGTCTCCAGGTATTCAGTTGTAAGGTCATCCCATGGCCCCTCTTAGATCCTCTCCTACGTGTCCCTTGGAAGGCTCCTTTGTTGAGTTTCCACACTTGCCAGGTCTTGACTAAGTTGACTAAGACTCTGTTACATACAAATGATCACAAAGCTTTAACAGAATGTGTCTATGATAGTACATGTATAAGGCAGGAATATTAAAAATTGAATTATTTATGATTCCAAGAAGGCAAAATAGCTAATAGCTATTTATTTGGTTGATGATGTGAGTCTGTCACTTATATAAAAGGAAAGTACTTAAGACCATGGAATGATTTTCATTCCTACTTCCCTTCATCCGTTAATACTTTTCTTATATACAAAAATATCAGTAATATTTTTGAGCAGTACTAATTAGTAAGCCTAATTATTTTACTGATGTTACATTGGGTAACTCTATTAACAAGGGGATTCTGGTAGGATCATGTTTGTTTGTTTTTTAAGAAATAGCCTGTTTGAATTTTTTGGTACAATTTAATTGTGATTATGTACCATGATGTTGTTATAGCCTGGTTGTAAACAAACCAACAAAAAGCCTCTAATAGGTCAATCAATTCCTGGATTTTTCTCTTGGGAGAGACATTTATATGAAAGAATTATTGTTAGAATGAATAGAAAACAGCAATTTGCTAAAGATTTATAGATTGTTGGCAAATAACTGGCTGACGGTCAACCATGTAAAAGAATAAGGGAGATCTAACTTTCATCAGAAAAAAATACTTAGACATTTTATCAAGAATGCTAATTTCTTACATCTTAGTTAAAGTTTCAATCAACTAAGATAAGCTCTGTCAATGCCTTAGGAATCTCTATTACTGCTACAGAAGAGAAAGAATGTTCAATTGGCAGTTTTCAGAATTCATGCCACATAGATAGAATAAAAATGAGAAGTATGGAGAGACATACGCTAATATCTTCAACTCTTACTCTTTTTCCAATTCCTTAATTCAACATTGCCTTAATCAATGTGATAGAGTTATTAACATTATTTGTGTTTGAGAAATGTATTTAGTAGATATTATATACAAGGTTTTTTCCAGGTGATTTTTAATTGTGTGATTAAAGCTCTCATAATAATACATACATCAATTATATGAAGCACACTTATACATATGTTGCCATCATTTTCAATTTTTTTTCTACTTGAGCCCTTGGTATCAGCTCCTCTTTTTCCTCTTCCTCCCCCACCCTCCCACCGTAGTGAACCCTTGATAAATTATAAATTATTGTTATTTACATATCTTATACCATTCGCTGTTCCCTTCACCCACATTTCTGTGTTCGATTGATTTCCCTCTTCTCCCCTCACTTTCCCCTGCCCTCATGGTATCACTATTCCCATTACTGTTTCTGATGTCTTTATCTGTCCTGGATTCTGTGTGTCAAGAGCTGCTATCTGTACCAGTGTATATGCTCTGGTCTAGCCAGATTAGTAAGGTAAAGCTGGGGTCATGATAGTGGGACTGGGGGTGGGCATTAAAGAACTGGAGGAATGTTGTGTTGTTGGTGCTATACTGCAACCTAGCTGTGAGGGGATGTCCAACTGTCTACAGATGGGCTTTGGGTCTCCACTCCAACTACCCTTTTTTGCATCAATATGATTGTTTGGGTCTACCTGATCCTGTGGACACCTCATGATTACACAGGCTGGTGTGGTTCTTCTATGTGGGCTTTGTTGATTCCGTGTTAGATGGCTGCTTGTTTAATTTCAAATCTTTAAGACCCCAGACACTATATCTTTTAATTGCCACCACCATCAGCTTTCTTTATCACATTTGCGTATGCATCATTTTTGCTTCAGTGATCGTGTTGGGAAGGTGAGCATCACAGAATGCCAGGTTAATAGAATACAGTGTTCTTGCATTGAGGGAACACTTGAATAGAGCCCCAATGTCCATCTGCTACCTTAATACATAACATTTAAATATACATAGACCTATAACTCTATCATTATATATTAATATAGTTACATACACATACCTTTATTTATTCCTCTATAAATGTCTTTTGCCTCCTAGGTCTTTCCTCTATTTCCTTTTACTTTCTTCCTGTCCCACTATCTTGTTTGGCCTTCATTCGGCTTTCAGTAATTCCTCTTGGCTGCATTGCACTTGATCGAATCTCACCAGGCATGCTATATATACCCTCCTTGCCATCGATTTTTTTATCTCTTTTTGTTCCCTTGTCCCTGGATCTGTTGACTCCCTTTCCCCCTGCTTCTCCTCTCTCATGTCCATTGGCCCCATTTTTTTCTCCTCAGGATTGTTTGACCTTCCTATCTTATATGATAGACATGGGGCTGGGGGTGGAGCCTATAAATGGTTCCAGGTCTGTCTGCTGACCATTATGAATGCTTTTCAGTCAGGTCTGGCGAGGTGCCAAGCCCTGCCCACTGATTCTGAAGCCTATTTTCGGGATTCTTTGGGGACTTCCTTGCTTTGCTCTCCTTGAGGCTCTGTTGCGTTCCCTTGTGTTTCACCTTGTGGGGGAGGGGAAAGGGGGTGGGGGGGCGGCAGCAGGCAGACAGGGCATAATTCCACAATTCCCGCACTGTGTCTCCAGTAGTCTGTCCCCCATAGCAGTGTTGGTCAGTGAGGGGACGTCATGCCTCATGATTGCACTGGCCCTATGGTCCTCTTTGTGCATTGGCTTTTCTGAGCAGGAATGTCATCCTTGAGGCTTGGAGGGCCAGAATGCTGTCCACTCCCTCTCTCTTTCCCTCTTCGTTTGCTTTTGTGTGGTCTGGACAGACCTGCCACACTCCCCAAGCCGTATTTTTATTGTGAATTAGGTAGGGATTTACATTTCAGATAGTAACTCTTCTACTCAACAACTTAAACTAGTTATCAAACTCCCCAATAGCCTGTTCTACCTTAGCTTTGATTTCTCCTCTCTTCACCCACATTAACACCTCCTGCCTATTGCTACATCTTCCCTTTTTTTGCCCTTCCCACTTGGTAGCCATCAACATCTATTTGTTTTGGTATGAAAAATTTTGTCTTGATATTTTTCTTTATAACAGTGGTCTCACACAGTATGCATCCTTTTGTGATTGAGTAATTTCACTGAGCACAATGTCCTCCAGCTCTATCTATGCCATAAGTGGCTTCTAAATTTCATTATTTTTATAGAGACATGCCATTCCATTGTGTGTATGTACCAAAGTTTCCTTTTCAATTCTTCTACCAATGGGCATTTTGGTTGTTCCATCTTCTTGCTATTGTTAACAGTGCTGTAATGAATGTGAGTTTGCATATATCTGTCCACATGTGGCTCTTATTTGGAAGACACTTTATCTAATTTAAAACTTGTGCTTCACCTTTCTGACAGTTATTCTACCTTTTCATTTTGTCCCTGTAGGTCTTGGTTGAGCATGGAAGTACAAATATCAACTTGGAAGGAGAAAATGGAAACACTGCTGTGATGTTTGCGTGCTCCAAAGATAATAGTGAAGCACTACAATTTTTGGTTCATATATCAATTTCCTTTTTTCTTCTTTTCTTATCTCTATGGTAGTATAGCCTGAGTGACTGTTGATATTTACAGCAGATCTTCCACTGTCCTCCTTAGTAAAATATAAAATGCATAAAATGGCAGGAAAATGTTATTTTTGTTTTGGGGGTAGATAGATACATGCCCCTAATTCCTAAAACAGATCTGACTTGGTTTTAGAAGACTAACATAAAAAGTATGAAAAAAATTGTGAGAAAATCAAAGTGAATTACAATAGTAATTCCAAATATTGGCAAGTCACCTACCAAGAAAAATGTAGGCTAATTTCACATATAACTAAACATAGATGCAAAATCTTAAATAAAATACTAATAAATTAAGTCACCAAAAACAACCAAAAGAGTAATACGCCAAACTGTGTTGGCCTTGTCCGAGACTGTATACATAGTTCATTATTAGAGAATGTATCGGTGATTGTTGTACATCAACTGGCCTAAGAAGATAAGATATATGATTGTATCTACCTATTTCTCTAGCAAGTCTCCTATAAATCTAGTAGAAAAATTGGAAAAAAGTCGCACAAAGCTTAATTTCTTTAATAACAAAAGAGAGATGAAACCATAAGATGTCATATATTTCACCTCCAATATATTTTTCTCACTCAGCTTTAAAAGGCAAAAAATCCTTTATTGACTTCCAGTGTTAAGAGAAATTCTGATGAGTCAGGAATTTCATTCCCTGCTGATGGGAATACATTTTGACTCTTCATTTTCCATTCTTGGAATATAACATGAGGTGATAAATCCAGTTACAACAAAGTCTCATGATTAGGGATTTTGATTTTAGTTATAAATATCATAGTGAAATAATTGGAAAAGTTACATAAATAAGGGTTGATGATATTTTCATGTATGCAAAAATATACTTTTGATAAACTCATGCGCATGATAAGCCATTAAAATACATTTGAATATTAAAATAATATTATTTATAATGAAGCTTTTATGAAAAGTATGATGAAACTATAGATGGAAAGAGATAAGACTTAAAAACAATAATTTCTTCCACAATGTAAACGCACACAATCTCTGGAAGGTGAGGGTACAGGTGGTACTCACTTGTTCACATTTTCCTGCCCTTTCAACATCTTTTGTGACAATAAAAGGCATTTCTAACAATACAGCAGTTAAATTATTTATAGAAAAGGGTAGTTGAAAACAATCAGCTCAAAGGCAAAGGTAATACAATATTCAGTTCATGTAGTCTTATTTTAGTAAACTTTCCTGCGTGAGCAGACCTGCTTTCTCAGTTGAACAGGAATGCTAGTCTACGCACGTATTAATTTTAGATAAATGATGAGCAAAGGATCTGTAGAATATGATTTGTGTAAGGACAGGAAATGTTCATAGGAAAGTCGTGATGCTCTCACTCACTTCGGCCCAAACACCGTACACCTAGATGACTTTGACCTTGCCTTAGAGGAAGGCATGTTCTCATTAATCCCATGAAAATGGTGTTCTATTTTTATGGTGGGCATCCCTATTGATATTTTGTATCTGCTTCATAGTTCATTTGAAAAGCCTTTCTAGAGTTTCAAAATTCCTTTCTTTCCCAGAGTTCATAGTATATAAAGTCTATCCTAGGTATTTTAAAACAATTTGCCAAGCTCAGGAGTATAGTAGGAATCAGGGCTCAGGAGATGATCTGGGAGAGGCATCTGGGTCCTGTTCACTATCAGGGTTTAGAGTTTAAGCCATGGCATTTTGTTGATATCCCCCCGCCCTTTTCCTTCTTTTATCTCACCTTCCAGTTAAACAAAGGAGCTAAGCCATGCATCCAAAATAAGTGGGGATGCTTCCCTATACACCAGGCTGCCTTTTCCGGTGCCAAAAAGTGCATGGAAATAATTTTAAAGTTTGGTGAGTAGAGGTTTTCATATATTATAGAGTGTAAAGAACCCTATTATTGTGAAGAGACTATTCATTTGAAAATCAACTAATAGAATTGACCATGGGCTTTTCTGTAGCTCTAAGTAATTTACTTTTCAAATTCAAATTTTTGACTTTAAATATTTAAACTATCTTGAAATGCATTTTCTTCTAAAGGTGAAGATCATGGACATAGCAGAAATAATCATATTAACTTTGTCAATAATGGGAAACATAGCCCTCTCCACATGGCTGTTCAGAGCGGCGACTTGGAAATGATCAAAATGTGCCTGGATAATGGTGCACAGATAGAGTTAATGGAGGTAATTATTCTTAACTCCCATGACACTTGGACTTTAGGATTGTCATATATTTTCAAATATGCATTTTTGCACAATTTTCCAGTTCATTGTATGTAAAATGTACAGAAGAGAAAAGAAACATTCCAAATCCATTGCAGTTAGGTGGATTCTGACTCATAGTGACCACAATTGGTCAAAGTAGAACTGCCCCATGGGATTCCCAACAGAGGGATCTTTATGGAAACAGACTGCCACACCTTTTTCTTACGAGTCTGTCCAAATCGCTGAACTTTGGGGCAGCAGCAGCTGAGAACTTTAACGGTGTATCTCTGGGGCTCCCAAAGCTAAAGACACCAGGAGGGAAGTTGACACCGAGAAGCCAAACACATAAAACATCCTAAATTTCAGACTATGTAAAGAATTTTGGGATCTCCTCCCACCCTACCAAAAAAAGTTGCAGTCACAAATACAGGGACAGTAGAGAATGTATATCCAATTTAACTCTCATGAACGAAGTTAAGGCCAAGATGCAAATATCAATGCTGTCAGCTGGGAATATCAAAGCCCACTCTTGAATCAGGTCTATTTTTAGTTCCATTCTGAAGAATTGGCAAATGAAGGACAGCTTAACTAATGTACTGAGATCTGGATGTGAAAATATAGGGTCATGGCCTCAAGCCAGCCAGCTCAGACTGAAAGGAGAGTGTGCTGCTCCCCATGTCCCTTCATCTGGCCGGTGTCTCACACTTCGGGGCCTTTAGGTAAGAACCTGCCTTGAACCCAACCTTGCTCGCATATTTGCCAGATACTCCGGTCATTTTTAGAGGCCTCGGAGATTCTGAGCGGAGGGATTGGCTCGCCCTCCCTTCACTGCAGAAAGGAAGAGGCCTCCTCGGTGACCAGGCCATGACAATAATTACCTGTAATATTTGTGTGGATGACTTTCAGAAGATCAAACTGATCCCCTTTCATCATCTTCTTTGATCCTGGTGACCTGTGAGGAAGCTCGCGGCTGCCCTCATGCTGTCGCCTTAAACTGAGACTCGCAACACTGACTCCGGTGTCTCAACTGTTCACAGAACGGGAAGTGCACAGCCCTTCATTTTGCTGCCACGCAGGGAGCCACGGAGATTGTTAAATTGATGATAGCCTCCTATTCCGGTGACAGCGATATTGTGAACGCAGTGGATGGAAACCAGGAGACACTGCTGCACAGGCAAGTTTGCTGCCGGGCTTTCCCCTACAGACCTCCAGCCTCTACTGTGAAACCAGATCCGGGAAGTCTAGGTCCCCATGTAACATCAGCAAGGGCTCTAGAGTTCCAAAGCGGTAAACTGAGATACCAACGATCCTGTGAGCCGGTTGGAATCAAAGTACGATCTTAAAGTCGGTTTTCACAGAACGAAATCTCCCCTGGCAGTCTCCACGAATTCTCAGGCCCGTGAATCCAGACTCAAGATTAATTATCTAGACGCTACGGAGGTCAGCATAGAAGTTTGCCCAAGCTCTTTCGAACCTGTTCCAATTCCTCATTATGTTGTCCTTCTCCACAGTGATGGGGAACATCAGAGCTTTGGCAATGTTTGCCAAAGAGAAGCACTCTCCCTCTGAGGGCATTTGAAGCCCTGTGATGCACCCTGGGGCAGCTTGTCTGCAGTTATGTTATTCCCCATGGCCCCAGGGAAAATAAAGCCTTTTCTTTGGTCTTGTATTTCAAGGCTTTGGGACAGAAATTTCTATTTTCACTTCCCATCAACAGTCATGAAGGTTTTACAAAGAGAAATAAGTCTACTAACTGATAAGAAAAACATGTGTGATGTATTTAAATTTTTTTCTATGACCTTGAAAATACAAAGACCCAAAAAGTTCCTAATTTGGGGGAAAAAACAAAACATTACCTTTTTTAGGGCAGGTAATAACCTAGTCAGAATTAATCATAGGCTTTGAAAGATGAGCAAGTCTCTAATATTTATGATATTATTAAATTGCAAATGAAATTTACTTTCAGAATATGGTAGCTTTGCTTTATACCTTCATACAAACAGCATCTTATCTTTTTAATTTTCTTTTTTCCAGAGCGTCACTATTTGATCATCATGAACTTGCAGAATATTTAATTTCAGTGGTAAATATTTACTTGACAAGTTTATTTTCTTTATTAATATTTACTTGAAAAAGTATATCCATAAAGTGGATTCTCAAAAATAAGACACATTTTAATTTCCTGTTTTTTAGTAAAGAAAATTTACAGAAGGCCCATTTATGTCAATATCTTTGCTAATATCTAAGAGCTAACCTTCAAGTTTGACATACGAAAGTGTGCTCTTTGGTAGCCTATTTTAGCTTGAGATAATAGTAGTATGTGAGCTACAGGATCGCTCATTGTGAATCAAGAGAATAAGACCAGAAACATTTTTCGTAATGTTATGCTCAGAGCTTCTGGTGTTCATGGTATGAGTAGCAGGGGCCCCGTAAGACAACACATGCGCATTTACAAGCAAAGGTGGAGGAGGGCTGTGATCAGGCACCTTTCATTTGATTTTCTAGCAAACATGGTTCAGAAAGGTCAGACTATGCTGGGATTTCATTGGTTAGCTATATTTGAAACTAAACTTGTACCTTGGGGATTGGGGCTGTTTGCCTAATAGGAAACCAAGGGCATTTGTGATGTACGTATGCCAGACACGAGTGGAGAAGAGTTCTGTGGGGTGGCTAGTCAAACATCAATCATGGAAGCCAGAAAGAAGGTTCCTACGGAGCCATGCCAAGGCATTTGATGCTAGAAGTTGGAGCCCCTTGCAAGGGCAACCCATCTGAATGATAAAGAAATGTCCAGAAATACTCGAGTTTGGCATATATTTGAATTCTAGTTCGATTTTCCCTATCCCAAGGAATTCCTCTTATGTAAAATTTCAATGGAAGCTCATTTTTGTTTAACATATGCTCTTTATTGAAAAACTTGCTTTGTTTTAGGGTGCAGATATCAATAGCATTGATTGTGAAGGACGTTCTCCACTTTTATTAGCAACTGCTTCTGCATCTTGGAATATTGTGAATTTGCTACTCTCTAAAGGTACAAGAAAAGCCTAACCAGACCTTTCGAATCACTATTCAGTTTGGTTAAACAAACACATATCAACCATTGATAGTGTGCCAGGCACTGAGACCGGTAGTATGAATATGAAGGTGAACAGGACACTTCCCATATCTAGAAGAAGTTCCACCCAGTAAGGGAGTGTTCCATGAAACAATAGCTTCAGAACAATAATAGGTAATATGTATGAATCAATTCTTATTTCTCAGGCATATGATTAACATTTTATCAATGATAATATTTTACTAACATTTTATCAATGAAACATTCTTTCCATCAGTTCATTCTGTGTGGTATAGATACTATTATTATCCCTGTTTTAATTGTTGACTGAATGTCATGAGAACACAGAAGAGAATGTCTTTTTTTCTTCTCTCCTCTCTTATTTTCAATAGCATCGTTTTTATATTTTATGATAAGAGTTCATCTGAGGAGGCCTTCATAAGTTCATGGAAACATTGCATTATCTTTTCATTCTATTTTTCCATTAACTTTTTGAAGCCCCTTCATGCATGTAGCAAAGTACATATCCTCCCCACCATTCCATAGCTCCATCTTAATATATGATTAGTTCCCTCATCTAAATAAAATTTCATGTAAGTTAGTTCAAGGATTAAGTAGGAAAATATTTATTTTATTTTCTCAAATTGAAAATTCACCCTAGACCATGCTTTAAGAAAATGAATAGAAGTTTATTTATATTGTGATTTTTTAGGTGCCCATGTAGACATAAAGGATTTTCTTGGACGTAATTTTTTGCATTTGACTGTACAACAAAGTCATGGATTGAAAAATTTGCAACCTGAGTTTATGCAGGTAATTTATATGTATCTATGGAGCTAGGTTCAACAGCAGAAAGTGAATTTGCATGTTATGATTTTCATTATTATAAAGATGAACTCTGATATATATAACAATGTTTAAAATAAAGATGCCATATTTGAGTATTTACAATGTATTGTCAATAATAATAAATAATAATAATAAATTAGATTAGGATTCATTTTTCTAAGTTACAGAAAATTTCCATTTAGCCCCATCTATCATAAGGATAGAAGCATAATCAATCAGTTTCATTTCAATGTTTAGCTATTATAAATTGCATGTCAGTGAAATAGCTATTCAAGTATGAGTGAATTAATAATATTTATGAATCAATTAAGCAAAATATGTTTATTGATCAATTAAACTATTCATAGGCTCATAAATTATTTACTTAATATACATTAAAAAACATAAAGTAAACCTAATTTTAACATCCTGTGGAGCACAATGCTGCCATGAGTTGGAATCAATTTAAGGGCAACTGTTAAATTGGTAATTTTATGTGGAAAACCAAAAGAGGAATAAGAGGGACCCTTGGTCAAGTTCATTTAGAAAATGCTTGTGAAGAGTCAACAACTGGGTTAAAATATTAAAATATACTTCCAACTCAGACTTTTCAGAGCCTGTAATATGATAACGTGCATTAGACGGAGACAGAATCTGCAACATTATCCATACTTTGGGATATATATTTTTATTCTAGTACCTACAGGCCATTTGCACTTTCCCATAAAGAAATCCATATCTGCCTTTGCTGTAAAAATGTGATACTAACTTGCAGTATAATTTGAAGAATATTTCATTAGCATACCAACACAGCTATAGGTAGAATAGAGTAGAGCATGAGTGAATAGAACTTCTTTTCCTCTCTCCAGATGAAACATATTAAAGAGCTGGTCATGGATGAAGACAACAACGGCTGTACTCCTCTACATTATGCATGCAGACAGGGGGTGCCTGTCTCTGTGAATAACTTACTTCATTTTAATGTGTCCATTAATTCTAAAAGCAAAGATAAGAAATCACCGCTGCACTTTGCAGCCAGGTAAGGATCAGTCTGTGCAATATATGAGCATGTCTTATTTCCGCTCAATTTTGCTTTTTATAGACCCATCTTAATTTTTCCCTCAAGTTATGGGCGTATCAATACCTGTCAGAGGCTTCTACAAGACATATCTGACATGAGGCTTTTGAATGAAGGTGATCTCCATGGCATGACACCTCTCCATTTGGCAGCAAAAAATGGACACGATAAAGTTGTTCACCTTCTACTGAAAAAAGGTGCATTATTTCTCAGGTGAGATTGTATAGATGAAATAGTTACATACTTTTTAAAAAAAGAACTTAACTAGTTGCTGGGTGTTTTTTCTTTTAGTTTTACTTGTGATACCTAACACTGTATCTCAGAAGTACTCCTAATTATCGTACTCCTCGAAATAGATACGAATTCTCATATATTGAGAAGGAAGCTTGTATTGACAATTGACAAAAGAAGACATCCGGTGCAGAGACTTGAAGACATTGCCGACGGTCATAGAAAAAGTGGTTCTGAGGAGAGTAGCTCTGAGGACTTTTGATAGAGTTTCTCTTATGAGGTGACCTCAAAAAATCATGAAAAAAAACCCTTATCCTTAAGTTCCCTTTTCTCACAAACTTTTCCCAAGTCCCAACAAAAATCACTTCATAGAGTCATGTTCTATGAATATACAAAATGTTTGCACATTCTAAGACCCACTTTTCATTCATTCTGGTGAATGATAACAAAAAGCTCCCTTTTAGGTATAAGAAAAGACACATTAAACATCGTGGATTTTTGATATACTTCAAGTCAGGGAAATAGAACAAATTAAAAATATGTAAGCACAATGACAAAAAGCAGCATAACTCCATGAATCTTTTATAAAGCAAAAATGACTAGAAAAATGTTATAGACACAAGTCTTCTCAAATCAGCTTGAGTGTGGCAAAAGCTTACGCGGGCAAAGTCCCAAACACTCATTAAAAAAAGTTTTATTGGCATATACTTCATGTATCATATAATGTAATCATTTAATCATATTAAGAAGACCTGTGCAATCATCACCACAACCCATTTCAGACCATTTTCTTCTCATATGCATAGTTGTCAGCTCCCCTCTCTCCTCGTCCTCATCCGTAAGCCCTCGTTACCTATCATCATATTGCCAATGAAGTATTGCTGCACCTGAGAATGAAGGCTTTGCTTAGCTCCTGTCTGCTTACCAGGGAACCCCAGCAGCAGACTGCAGAGAACACCCAAAGTGGATCAGGGGAAAGAGTCCTGCTTAATTGAAAGAGCCAGGTGTGTCTTGTACCTGCTCGCTAGAACTGCAGCTCAATGGTGTCAAAGCCTCACACATTGTTTCTATGTCTAATTTCAGTAAATAGTACTAAAATGTGACTGGCCTTTATTGTGTTTACATCCTGAATTTTTTGGGGGGAAAGGGCAAGGATTTTCCAAAGAGATTGAATACATGAATTAGCGAGTATAAAAGGGGAAATCTCGGAGACCTGAATTCTGAGAAGAGTCTGTAATACTAAGGTAAGTTTCTTAGAGTCCGGCGTCATATTATCCTTTCTATTATTGGTATTGTTGTTGTTAACAGTAACTATTGGCCAGGAAGACTAACACTATCATGGAGAAACTTTTTATACAGTGCTTAATGAAAGCTTTAAAATTGTACATAAACGCATCCTATAGCTTAAAATAAATTTAACACAGAAATGCTACCTCTACTTTCTCCAGTCCCTAGCTTTTGATAGAGTGCTGATATATTTTTACATTTTAACTCCCTAATTAAAATTTTGTGTGAATTACACCTCAAGTAGCTCATTTAAGAAAACTGGGCTTTAAATTAACCCAATAATGATAAACAGATAACACTATTTAGTTCCTAAATCTCAATTATGCCTTTGTTCTTTTGGTCAATCAGACCCACCATTCAGATTAATGAGCCGAGTGGCATCACTTCTCACCCTTCATCTGTACAGTAAATACATGTGTGCACACATCTTTCCTTAACTCTTCCTCAGTGACCACTATGGCTGGACTGCTTTGCATCATGCGTCCATGGGTGGGTACACTCAGACCATGAAGGTCATTCTGAACACCAATCTGAAGTGCACAGATCGGCTGGATGAAGAAGGGGTATGTACTATGTTCCTCCTATCGACCCATCATCTTGGTCTTCCCTTCCCTGCCTCACTCCCAACCAGGAGTTAGGCTCTTTATATCCAGACTCCGGGAGTGGGAAATGAGGAGTCACAAATGGAAAAAGGAGACTGGTACTAAGCCTCCTTCCCAGTCTCACAGAGGCCCATCCACGGGGCCATGCATTCTGGTGATACCGCTCCCACTGTCCCCTGGTGAACTGAGAATGAGGAAAGGGCAGGGAAAGTTTTCCATGACATGTGCTTGAAGCCCCGTGGCCCATTCTACTTGCCGGCCCGGCTTTTTTAGGGGAATGAGTGTACCGTTCTTTCATGATATGATGGGGATAGATTTTTATGATCTTATGTGTGAAAACTAAACATTGGCAGCCTCATAGCCATCAAGTGGTGCATTGGCCTGCTAACCACAAGGTTGGTGGTTCAAACCCAGCAGCTGCTCCACAGGAGAAAGTTGAGAGGCCTGTCTGCCCCCATGAAGACTTACTGTTTTGGAAGCCCTCTCTCAGGTCACTAGGCCTTGACTCAACTCCTTGGCAGTGGGTGTGTGTTTCTTGAACACCCGTCTTGACTTTTAAAAAATGTACCAGACTCTGACACCTAAAACCTGTAACCATTTCTCGACCACAGTGCTGTATCTCCAAGGAGCTTTCTCTTTGTGTGTGCTTGAGCACGCTTGTCCTCAAAGAGCACCCTGTGCGCTTGTGGAATCTTTCCTTTCCCACAACAAAGCCAACCGAACACTGAATCCTTGTCTGCCCTCGACCCGACCTTCTTTGAACTAGTTCTGTTTATTATTTTAAATACAGACTCTAACCGCCAATCACAGATTCTGTGTCTGTTGATAAATCATTAGTTTTGCTAATACTTTCTTTTAAACCATTTGAGAATGAAAGAAGCCAAGTGATGGTAAGTAAGCAAGGGTGAGCACTGCATTTTCCATGTGCTGTTTTCTCTCCAAGAACACCGCGCTCCACTTCGCGGCCAGGGAAGGCCATGCCAAGGCCGTGGCACTTCTTCTGAGCTGCGGTGCTGACATCGTCCTGAACAAGCAGGATGCCTCCTTCTTGCACGTGGCTATCCACAACAAGAGGAAGGACGTCGTTCTGACCGCAATCAGGAGCCAAAGGTACCCGGCTTGATAGTCCAGACTCATTACGAGCCTGTCTTGAGGGACCGGTCACAACCGCAGCAGGCATAAAAAAGAAAGAGAGAAAAGGAGAAAGAATGGTTAGCGGGTTATCATAAATTTTAAAATGCCATCGGCTTACATAAATCTGTTAGCTTTCATTAACTCTTTGGGTGCCAACAGACAAGTGGCCGTACCTCCTGAATTTCAAGTTACAGTTCATAGACGTGAGAGAAGGAGCCCTGGGGCGTCGTGGTTAAGAATTGGGCTGCGATCCGCATGGTCGCAGTTTCAAAGTACCAGCAGCTTCTTGGGAGAAAGTCTGGGCTTCCTGCGTCTGTAAACAGCGACCGTTTGGAAACCCACAAGGCTGGTCGCTGTGAGTCAGCACTGACTTGATGGCAGTGAGTTTGGTTTGGGCATACATCGGAGGAAAACCTTACTTTGGTAAAATAGACTATTTGGTAGAGCTTTAGAACCAGCTTTTCTGGCACTCTGGTGATCATGCATGTGAAATGTGTGCCATCATGGTAATTGGTAAGTAAACACTGTCATTCCCCACCCGAAATTGCCCTACTCTTGGGCCAACAGAAGCCCCCCCACTGGGAGTTGATGCCATCTAATGAAACTCAAAGGCATGATCTGCAGTGATGGGCCTTCGCCCCATCCTCTCAGATGTTCTAATAATGGAGTTGGAGGGCGATTTTCCCCACTTCTTTTTTTTTTTAAATCATTTTATTGGGACTCATACAACTTTTATCACAATCCATACATACATCAATTGTGTAAAGCACACTTACACATTTGTTGCCCTCATCATTCTCAAAATTCGCTTTCCACTTAGGTTCCTGGAATTAGCTTCTCATTTTCCCTTTTCCCCTCTCCCTCCTTCCCCGCTCCCCCCTCCCTCAAGAACCCTTAATAATTTATAAATTATTATTATATCTTATCTTACACTGCCCGGCGTCTCCCTTCACCCACCCTTCTGTTGCCCATCCCCCAGAGAGGAGGTTATATGTAGATCCTTGTGATCAATCCACCCTTTCTAGCCCCTTTCCCTCCTGGTATCGCCACTGTCACCGCTGGTCCTGAGGGGTTCATCTGTCCTAGATTCCCTGTGTTTCCAGTTCCCATCTGTACCACTGTGCATCCTCCGGTCTAACCAGGTTTGCAAGGTAGAATTGGGCTCATGATAGTTGGGAGGAGGAAGCGTTTAAGAACTGGAGGAAGGTTGTGAGTTTCAATATTGCAACACTGCACCCTGAGTGACTCATCTCCTCCCCACTACCCCTCTGCAAGGGATGTCCAGTTGTCTACAGATGGGCATTGGGTCCCCATCACGTGCTCCCCTCATTCACTAAGATGATTCCACCCCCCTCCCCCTGTTGCTTCTGGGCTAGGTGGCTGCTTGTTTACTTTCAAGCCTTTAAGTCCCCAGATGCTATAGGTCTCGATACACAAACTTCTGTGTATAATCACCAATATCTATGTGCAAGGGCCCAGGGTCAGCCAATTAGTAGGCTACACAGGAACTGTGGGCGGAGCCTGTGATCTTGATCACCGGCGGCGATCGCATCAGCCTCAAAAAACACCAGTGGTGGAAATGTGCATTTAGAAATTTTGTGGGGGTACTATAGATATTCTAGATGGGTTTTGCCAATAAGGGGAATGGGCAGAAATAGCTGGCTGTTTTTAGAAGCAGTTCCCGATTAAACAGACGGGATCCTGGAGACAAATAGGCTTTTTCCTTGCTTCCTGGTGCAAGTTTATCCCCACATTAATGTTGGAGGCTCATTCGAATTTCATCTAATTGGATAGAGATGGCAGGAGGGGAAAAGTCTTTAGCTTGCTGGCGGAGTCCATGTTCATTGGTGCATTTTGTCTTTTAATTGGTTGCATAATGCACACATGGATCCCATGCTGAGCATTATGTGCACAACAGAATGGCACTGAAATATGTATGCAAATACGGGCCTGTCTACCCAACACCATCAGCTGTGGAAGCACTTAGCGTTTAGTGGCTTCGGGGAGAAAGGAAGATGACAACCTCCCTCAATGGAAGGCACTGAGGGAAAGAGAGTGTGATTTTAACAGCTCTCCTGGGATTGGCTTATACGACCACTGATCCTCAGGACCCGTGGAATCCATTCACGCTTCACCGTGTTTGGAACTCATGGGTCATCCCTACATTATGAATGAACACAAGTTCAGATTGTTCCTGAAAGTTCAATTTTGAGTTACCAATATTAGCTTTGTTGGTGTGCAGACCAGATGAACATTTGTGCTTGTTTGTTTGTCTCAGGTGGGAAGAATGTTTTAAAGTATTTAGTCATCGTTCTCAAAGCAATAAATGTCCTGTCATGGAAATGGTGGAATACCTCCCTGAATGCATGAAAGTAAGTTCCCCAAACAAGACCTCCTCTGCTGGCTCCATGCCCACTGGCATCTCACAGCGTGTGAGGATTGCAGCTGCTTCCGTACAATGAACAAGCACTCTCCCTGGGCACACTCTTCCTCTGCCGTTCACGTGGCTGGCCCAGTGTTAACAGCCATGTATTGGCATCTTGGTGCTATTCCTTTCCTTGGCTTATAGAGTATTTTTCTATAGTTGCCTCTATCAAGAGTATTGACAAAGAAATGAAGAAACTGTCTAATGAGTTCATAATGCAGATGAATGTGGAAGACATTGTGTTCAGCAAAGTTAGTCAACTTCAAAAAGACAAATACTTAATGAGACCACTATGGTAAAATAAAAAATAAAAAGACATTACTTTCACAACAGAAGAAGTGGACTTTGACCATTAGAGGGAGGCCTCATGTGGGGGTGGGGGTATAAATAAATACTTAAGTAAATAGAGAAGTAATAAATAAGAGAGACCACCACACAGATACACATGGATAGAGTCACACACATGTGCACATATAGGCAAATAAAACAAAGCAAAAAAGCACTCGAACTCAATAAAAGGACAAGATAAAGAATAATAACAAAACAATTAAGCCTCCTCTTTCTCCCACGGAGCAGCTGGTGGTTGTGAACTGCTTACCTTGTGGTTTGCACCCAACATATGTATATGCCTATATACCTACCTCCAACGATTTTGATGCTGCCTCTGTGATTACTGCCATCACTACTAGCACCACCACTACTACCATTTACTACTTCTATGACTGCTCTTACTGGCACCTATTGTTGACCCCTTATTCCACACTTAGTGCTTTGTGTGCTGCTTAGTTTTCTCTGTGAGGTGTGGTGGATCAGACCCCATCCAGTGTCGAGATAGCATACAGAGAGCCTTCTGGGTACACACCTCTTATCAAATGGCACATGAATATTCAAGGTTTAAAATGTTCTCAGATTCTCTTCTTCAGGCATTCCAGTTACGAGAATCTATCCTAATGAATAACCAGACACACAGGTAGAGTTATATAGAGTGGTATTCCCCATTGCTTTTTGTGATAGAAAATAAAAGTTGAAATATTCACATATGAAAAACATCAACAAGATCTGAGGACAGGATGCAAAAATACCAACAACACATCTCGGCCGTGGGATTGTGGTTGCTTCCCTTTTCTTTTTTTTTTTTGCTTCCCTTTTCTTCCTGAGGGTTTCTTTAGTCGTTTGTGTCCCTTTAATATCGTGAGGTTCGTTTGTTTGTTTTTCCAGGAAAAATAAAGGCACTCGAAGGCCTTCCAGGTTAGGCTCACATCACCCATTTGAGTTACTTATACAATATTTCTGAAAATAAGTCAGTCAGTTGACTTTGTGAACCATCCTGAGGCAACCGATTCTTTCCTTGGCCTGGATTGGTTATGATGAGGTCCCCAAGCTGTAGCGTTGGCTGCGCCTTGCAATGCACTACTGCCTAGCTTAGCTTTCTTTCCCATGAGAATCCTTCAAATATTTAATGATGCCTATTAATGCCATGAATCCCGGGGGCCTGGCCACGGAGATTTCCACGGTCTGTTGGAAGTCCTTGCCCTGGTGCCTAAAACTGACCAGGGCTACAGTGCTCATAGGATGGGGTTGGTCCTTATTCCTCCTTTGCAGGATACTGTCTAACCTTCTACCCCTGCGTTTTGCAAGTGGATTTCTCTAAGACTCCAGGTGCTCTAAGAAACACGTATGAGGTTATTTAAAGCCTTAAACCCAATACGAATTCCTGGAGAGCTAAATGGCTAATGTGGTCTTTCTTCCTCAGGACTGTGAGTGTGGGGCATGAGAATGATGTTGATGTGCATGATCTGAGCTGAATTCTTTTTGTAGACATAGTCTCCAACAAAATATTTGCCCAAGGCCTCATCTACCTTAGGGTTGGTGCTAATGGTCTCATCAACAACCTCTTCCTGAATTATGCATTTATGAGTAAAGGATCTCCTACCATCTTGTTCTCCCTCCTCTGGATATATGCGCTGCCGTTCTTAGTTTGTAAGCATGGTTGCAAAAGCAAAAACAGTACCGGAGGTTCCAAGCCATTCATGAGAAGGGACTGAGCCCACACACAAAAGAAAATACTGGGCAGAAAATGCCCCATTTGAGGAAATAAGCTGCCCCTACAGCATGTTCCGCCAAGGAATCCTTAATGAGCTGTAGATTCTCTAAAAGCCCAGAAAGACATCAAATTGGAGGCAAAAAACAAACAAACAAAAAAACAACCTAGTGAACACAATCAATTATACAACTTTTAGTCATTCAAGTTCACTCTTCAGCTCATGCGATTTTTCCGCATCACTTGCCACTGCTGTGGCATGGGGTGGTAGATGTAACATTTCTTCTTTGATACCTTGCTCATGTATTACAAGGATTATGCTTTGTCTTTGGGGAGAAAGATACAAAGGAAAGGGGCTATTTTGTGTTTGTTTAGAAATAGGATAAAATTTTGTGTCACACTTCGCTTCCTGCCCCAGCATTGCAACCCTCCTTTGCTCTCCCAAAGGTTCTTCTAGATCTGTGCATGCTTCACTCCACAGAGGACAAGTCATGCCGAGACTACCACGTGAGTTTATTTTATCATATGAGTTTGAAGTGTATCTTATCATCGTTCTTGGAGAAATTAAAAAAATAATATTATTGTAGTGGCCCAATCTCCAAACATGGTGCTTTCATTTGTCTTATGATGACAGGACCTAGTTGGGAGAGAAAAATTTCCCTTTGCTGGTTTCCACTTTTCCCCCAGTATCTTAATTGCTCCTAACATTATTAATTAGTGTTATCTTTCATCTTTCTGCAAGCCAAGTCAATGGCACCTAGCAACAAAATCAACAGATCTTATGGGATAATTTCCTCTGAAGAATGACATGATAAAAAATCAAAGCCGAATTTCAATAATTCATCTTCTCCCCAACCCAACCTGACCCATGGCATGATTATCCATTATAAAGCTATGAAAAGCAGCCACTAGGGTAATTTTTCAGCTAAAATATATAATAATTCAATTAATTAACTTTTCTCCAGTTGAAATGACTCAACTTTGTTTGAATCATGTAATTTTCAGCAGAGGGGTAGGTGTGCTTATTTTCCAAGAGCAGCTTTGGGTGTCTTTGCCAGACTAAATACAATTTTTTGAAACCATTTGTATCTTCTACAGATTGAGTATAATTTCAAGTATCTTCAATGTCCACTAGAGTTCACCCAAACAGTGAGGCCTGAAAAGGATGTAACATATGAACCTCTGGCAACGCTCAATGTAAGCCCATGTTCTCATTGTCTGTATGTCATGTTCTGATGCCGGTGGAGGTGGTGGAGGTGGAAGGGGCGTAGAGGAAATTCCCATTTTATAACGTTATATCTAGATATGTCATGTGGTCCAACCCTTCATTGTTTAGTTAAAAAAAAAAGCCTCTATTCTTTGTGACCTCAGTTTTAATGGTTACATTAGAACTGCCTTCACTCAGAATGTGCATAACACCTGGGCAGTACAAGGCTGACGGTCTTCGTTTAGGGCAGACCCAGAACACATGGTGTGGAGCAGGAGTTTCCAAGAGCCTCGCCTCAAGCCAGCTCTTGTTCCATAGCATGATGTAATAGTTTTACTCAATAAGCAACAGGAGACAGGAGACTTGCAAATTTTTCGCCCAGCGTCTCAAACTCAAATAAGTACAAAAGATAGCGCTAACAAGATGAGTAACACGGGCCACTCATCTAAAATCGTCCACTTTTTTTACTACGAGGAAAGTGGTAACTACTTGTACACAGACTGGCAGCAAATTAAAATTGTATGCACTCACAACAGAGCATATTTGAGAATAGGGTTTTCAAGTTTTAATCTAGAATTGTGGTGTTGAATATGGTGTCATACATGTCTACTTTTATTAATAGTAATTAAAAAAATTTAAATTATACTGCTTCTGTCTTACTAGCCACATTTCACATATTTGATAGTCCATGCAGCTAATTTGTTCCCATGTTAGACAGAAAAGATAACAACAAACCTCGCCGCCACAGGGTTGGTGCTGACTCCCACCGTTGCTGAGGCTGTAACTCTTTTTGGGAGCACAGAGCTCTGTCACCACTGAACGTCCTCTGTGCTCCTGACAAGATGAAAGGCGTGTCCATTATTGCAAAAAGTCTTACTGGAAAGCACCGGTCAAGACCAATAGGGAATTCGCATCCACTTTCCATGAATTCATTCCCATACACAGTCTTTGGAAGGACTACCGTGAACACACAGAGCCAAAGGACACGCACTTTATTGATTTGACAAAGTTAACTATTGGCAACAGACCCTCCTGTTTACTTTATGCTAAGCACTTTAGCTTTGCTGGAGTGTTATATTTTGCAGTTGTTATTACAGTTGAGAATAAAAGCCAGCTGAACTAGAAGTAACCACACCCCAGTTATGCTTAGACGAATATCGTGTATGTTTGTGTTTTTAAAAAACTCTGTGAAGATTACTATCAAAAAGAAAAATATGTCTATTATTTCCAACACTGGCACGACGATAGGAAGAAATAAAATCTTACAATTAAAGTGTGCTCAGCTTAAAACTGAAAGGTTGGAGAGTCAAACCCTCCCCCTACCCACCCAGGGGCACCTTGGAAGAAAAATCTGGCATGCTACTTTAAAAAAAATCAGCCATTGAAAATTATATGGAGAACCATTCTCTTCTGATAAGCATTGGGTCGCTGTGAGTTTGATATTTTCACTTGTATTCCTACTTCATTTTGGTGCCATCTAAACACAGGGAACCCTGGGGGTAGTGGGTTATTCATTCTCCTGCTAACTGCCAGGTCAGCAGTTTGAAACCACCATCCACTCTGAGAGAGGAAAAACGAGGCTTTCTACTTCTATAAAGAGTTAGAGTCTGGGAAACTCACAGGAGGAGTTCTATCCTGTCCTATATGGTCTCTATGAGATAGAATCGACTCACTGGCCATGAGTTTGAGTTTGATGTGGACAATAAGCTTAACATGGTCGGTTTGCTCCCCTTGTCATTGTTTGAAAGGCAGATATGGAAGATGGCTGAAACAATTAACTGTGGGAAGTAAATATCTGTCTTTGCCTCTAGTATAGTTATTTTAAATACTAATTACACTGTAACCAAGTTACTCTCACAAGAAATGCTTTTTCATTTTACTTTGAAAAAAACATAAATTTAATTTTAAAACCAACTCAAAACAACTGCTGTTGAATTGACTCTGATTCGTGTAGTACCATGTTCCGTAGGGTTTTCCATGGTTGATTTTTCAGAAGTAGATGGTGAGGCACCTCTGGGTGAGCTCAAACTACCAATATTTTAATTAGAATCAGTTGAGCCCAGTAACCATTTGCAACATCCAGGGACTCCACCAAGCGGAGGGCTGTATAAACGCTTCCAGCCATACAGTGGGCTATGAGGTGATAGTTTAAAGCAATATGTTTGGAAATGATTTATGATTGATAGATTTGAAGAGTGTATTGTGGAATGAAAAATCAAGCATAGTGTATGGTTGCTAGTATGCCACATTCTGCAAAAGGCAAAACTACACAGACAGCAATGGGTGTCAGGGAAGTCAAAGATTCAAGGGGAGCTGGGGAGAGATGGACAGGTGAGGCACAGGGAATTTTAGGACCCCCCTGCCCCAAACTGTTCTGCATGGTATTAGAGAGCATGCCAGTAGGCATTTGCCAAAACTCATAGAATTGTACACATCAAAGTGAACCCTGATGTAAACTATGAACTTTAGTTAATAATGATGTATCCAGAATAGTTCGTAGGCTGTAACAAATGTACCCACTAAATAATTAGAAAACAGTGTGTAGTTGGGAAGGAGGGTGTATTGACTCCTGAGCAATTTTTTTATGTAAACCTAAAATTATTCTAAAGTGATTTTATTGGTTTAAAAAATGTAAAATCCAATTGGATGGAAAACATACATGTAAAAATAATTGTGTATATTTTTATGGTTTATATTCATGTCAGGACCTGTGTGTTTGTGTGCAGAAGTATAGGAAAAGATTAGGAAAGATGCAGAGGAAATTAGTCATGAAAATACTTCTGGTGAATGGGGTGGGACTTAGGACCCAAGCTTGGATATGGGAGGAACTGTGACCTTAGCCCGATGTTTTGATTTTTAATGTATGCATTCCACAAATAAATAAAATTAAATTTGAAATGAATACTTGTAGTTACTAATAGCATTCATAAATAAAATAATAATCTTGATTGCAGATGCCAGTTTTTAAAACCCTTCTAGAAAGATAAGCCTGAATGCCTTCAAGTACAGGAGATTGTTATTCTTGATTATTCATCTTTAATGTCCTTTCCAGTTATAATATTGTGTAAGATTTTAATATGCATGCTATCTAAACTAGCCAGACATTGAAAGAGACAATCTGATTAAAATAATTGTACCTGTATAAAGTCATTCTCCCTAGTTAGTTTTTAAATTTATTTTATTGACATCATGTTTCAGTTTCTAATAGAAAATAGACAAATGTTATTTGGATAACAACATAAACATGAAATCATACCCCAGCAGAAAAAAATCTTCTCTTAGTTCATATTTTAATATGCTTGTGGTTTTTTTTGCTTTCCCTCTTATTCAGGCAATGGTACAGCATAATCGCATAGAGCTTCTCAATCATCCTGTCTGTAAGGAATATTTATGTATGAAATGGTGGGTATTGAATAGTATTTCCTTTTGAACCAATGCTTTGCTCAATTAAAAAGTCTTTGTAATTACTATATTTTAATGAAATGTTAATGTTTCTGGCTTGGTTTTTATATCATCCTTTGGAAAGGAAACAGGCGTGGTGGGCAATTTGGGTATTAATGGTGACATTGCTTATTTTGGGCATTGAATGAGATATTTTGGGGGGGGTCATCATATAAGACACGGAGAAGCATTTTGAACCTGGCAGATCAGTGACAGTGAGGTGAGAGGTGTGCTGACGTCAGAACACATGGGCTAAAGTCTCTACTTTTCCATTAATTGGTGAAAAACATCAAGCAAGTCATGGTTTGCACTGAAGTTAAGATTTCTTTTCTGGAGAGGAAAGAATGAGAAGATCTTTCCGACTGTAATGTTCAGTGAATACAACAATTAGATTTCAGAGAACAATCATACCCACTTGTTCCACAGGTATTATCAATAAGTATTTCTGGTCAAAATGAGTCAATTATGGTGTGCTTATGTTCTTCCCAGGCTAGCCTATGGATTTAAAGCCCACATTGTGAACCTGGGATCATACTGTCTGGGTCTCATGCCTATGACCTTCCTCGTGGTCAATATAAAGCCAGGAATGGGTTTCAACTCAACTGGAATCATTAATGGAACAAGTGACCACTCAGAAATACTAGACACCCAGGTATTTCCTATTGGTTTTTATAGTTCAACATTTTACATTTAGGATGAAGGAAAATGAAGGTTTTATTAGAAATGCTAAACTCAGAATAAATTTAAAATAGAAGACCTTTGATGACGCTAAGTATCCTACCCGTTCCTGTCTGCCCGTTTGTCATACCTTGGTGGCTTGCCCATTGCTGTGATGCTGGAAGCTATGCCGTCAGTAATTCAAATAGCAGAAGGGTCACTCGTGGTGAACAGGTTTTCGCAGAGCTTTCAACAAAGAGCAGACAAGGAAAACTAAGCATAAAGCAGGAAGAAGGAAGATGCCATCCACTTCTGACAAAGTAGCCACTGAAAAGCTTACAAATTGCAGCCGGGCGTTGTCTGATTGAGCGTCAGCAGAGGAGCCACCAAGGTTGGGAGACATTCCACAAAAGCTGCCTCCTCAAGTAGAGTTGACCTTGATGCGGAGAAAGAAACACATTCAAGACCTTCACTTGTGATGGGGCATGACTCCACGTGGGAAGAATCAGCTGCAGGATCCCTTAATAACTGGAATAAATGGAATGCGCCAAGTTACAGTGGGTCCGTGAGAGCTAAAATATAACTTTCAGTTAGCCCTGCTGAATTTATAGGCCTTCTCAAAAAGAGATTTGATTGAGCACTAATGAGGGCATACCAGATAAGCTGTGTTTCGCATGTTTTGGACATGTTATCAGAAGAAACTAGCTAGTCCCTGGAAAAGGACATGGATCTTGATAAAGGAGGCAGATCCTCCACAAGATGGATCAACAGTGACTGTGGCAATGGGCTCAAATGTAACAATTGGGAGGATGTTTCAGGAGGATACAGGGTTTCTTTCTGTTACACATAGAGTTTTGGGGAGCCAGCTCTATCTTGAGGGCACCTGACAATAAGTATCCTACAGAATTTGTATATGGTACCCAGTTCCTCGTGAAGTTTGAGTATGAGATGAACTATAAATGAATAGTCTGTACACGAATTCAATAAAAATTGTTATGTCTATAGACTGATCTAATAGAAAATTCTAATTTGAATGTAGAAGTCTTTTTTTTTTT